AGAGAGAGAGAGAGAGAGAGAGAGAGAGAGAGAGAGTTCTTTGTGAATCATACAAGAATATACATACAATATCGTGTTTATAACTGTATGCAGGCATATTATCCAATTAGCAAAACGTAGTATAAGCACGAAGAGTGCATCGTAAGAGAGAAGAGTATGTACTTAAAGTACGTGTACTTACTTTTTCATCTTTTTCTCTGGAGTGTTCTCCACAACGTCGTCTTCGTCGGCGAGGTGTTCCTGCGTGTAACAGTGCCATGTTATCCTCGCTGTAGAAGCTTTTGTGCCACAAAATCGAAATATATCGCGCATGCATTATAATTTCGTTGCAAATAATACGAGAGACTAACTCGATTAAATAAGAAAAAAATTACAAATGACGCGCTTTACGATGTAAACTCTTGTGAAAAATGGACGTACATGCACAAAACATACTTGCACGGAACAAGCTGTTTTATAATGCATTCACGCTATTTCTATGTAAACTACTGACAACAATATACAAGAATGATGTAAAGTGCTCGCTCGTAAAGAGAATTGTAAAAATCCGTTGCGATGAAAATTCAATAGAATATAAAATGCCTACGGCGATATTGCTATAGTTAATATTACAGATTAAACTTCAAGTTTGATTATGCAAGAAAGTTAATTACCCGTAGTATAATTATTTCGATAAAAATTTTCTTAAACTCTAAAGGAATTGTTTGCGATATGGTCTCTCTGTACCTTCTGTACTTTATCAGATTTACGATAGATATACGAATATATTAAATATAAACTTTATAGATATAAATTCAATTTGTTGCTCTCCTTCATTGATGAGAATATATGATAAAGAAACAACATCAACTCTTGGAATATTGAAGATTTGCAAAGTAGAAGAAAATATGTTATATATAGTTAATAAAAATATAGAATGTCTAATCAAAATTTCTTGAGAATTTCCGGATTTTTCAGATATTTTTATTCAAAATATCAGGTAAAATTAAAAAATTCTTAAATGCCATCTTTATGAAGTTTATTTTAGTGTGTGTATTTTTTTATGTTTTTTAATCACGAAGGAAAATTACTTGGATATTTGAATATTAACGTTTTGGCTTAATTATTCTAAAGAAACAGATTTTCTTTAGAAAAATTTACAAGTTATATCAATGTACGCGATGTACACAAATGTATATGTCGTATTAAATTCAATTATGGCGAATTATGGCGGACTATCAACGATTTGTATTATAAAAGCAAAATTATTAAAAATTTTTTCTAAGCGGCAAAATTTAAATTTAGAGATATAATTTCAAAAAAATTCCAGGTTTTTTTTCAGGGAAATAAAAATAGATACGATATTATAAACAAAAATACTTACTCCTGGCGTCGTATTTCCCTGAATATTCTGCTTCCTCCTTTTCGGAGTGCGTTGCCCCTGTTGGGACAAGTTACTCTGCGAAGTCGTCCTCATTTGATTTCGCATATCCGTAATGCCAAATAAATCCTCTTCAAACATTTGCAGTTGAACTTGATGCTGCGTAATGTTCATAAGCGAATCTTGTTCGGAAACGTCATTCTTCGAACTTGATTCGTTGCCAACGGCTGTTGCCCTTTGCCCTTCATTGTCATCGACATCCGTCAGTCGTATCGAGACATTACGTTCTTCGGATTTTCCTTTCTCTTGTGATGCGTTATACTTCGATACGATTTTCTTATGAGAATCTTTGTCAATCGCATCGACACTCGCAGTTGCGCCCTCTCTGTCTCTTTGGTCATTCATAAAGTTGCGTTTTTTGATGTTACTGGCTACGTTCTCCTTGTCAGAATTTCTTAAAATGATATTCGTCCTCGTATATGGTTTCCTAACGTTCTTGGAAGAATGATGCTCAAACATGTCGGTCGTCGACGACGCAGGTATGATCAGGCTGTCCTGCATGGTTCTGTACAATTCATCTGTCATCGCGAGACAGTTTGACGATTTCTGTTCCGCCAACGGGCGATTGGGATTGCGATCCAGTTGCTCGGTACAAGGTATTACATCCTCGCTTTGTGACTGCTCGACGCTGGCGATGATCTCATCGAAATTGTCCTGCAGCAAGTTCTCTCGGCTGTTCTTTTCTCTCTGACTCGCCATGTCTTTCTGGGAGGTAGAACCCGACGGCCGACGTGAGTCGAGATTGCTCTCCGATCGATCGAGCACTCGGTTTATGGTGTCGTCATTAGAAGGATCCGTGGCTTTCTGCGATTTCATATTGTCCTTACTGTCCAATTGCTGCATCATATAGTCGATATTTGTCGAACTGAATAGGCTATTACTCTCAAACATCGATTCTTTCGGGCTTTTCTGACATGACTTTACGCTCTTGTGCTTCTCCGTCTCAAATGTCCCAGTTGATGATCGTTGGCTAGCTAGATTTTCTTCAGATGGGCGTTGTCTCGTTGACGTGACACTATTCTGGCTGTTTTCACCTTCCCTCATCAGCTTTTTTTGCATCGCGTCATGTTCGTTTCTCCATTTGTCGGTTATACTCCGAATACGAAGATTTTCATCCGAATCTTGTCTCACCAAACATTTTCTTGTGTTTATAATCGGTGCGTTTCCTCGATCGCATTGTTCATCATTATGTCTTCAAGAAGAAAAAGACTCATTACTAAATAAAAAAAAACCTGTATCTTTAATGATAAAAGTATTTTCTGAGATTAAATGCACACTATATCATCTTTCACTTTGTTCCTTCGAATGTACGAATTATAAAAGCATGAGAAACAAACAAGAGAAAAAAAAAGAAAAAAAAGACATACTCGGAAAATAACAGTATTTCTTATAAATCAACGTAGATTAAATTTTTAAGCAACAGCGATGACTAGAGATGCTTAAATAATAGCAATTAAAATAGAAATTATAAATAAAATAACGAAAATAAGAATTAAAAAATATATTCAGAATAACGAAATAAAAAGTCGCTCGATAAAATATTAATATAAAAAGCATATATCATAAAATAATTTCATTAATACCTCGACAAATTTTTCGTACTACGCGTCGCCGATTCCATTTCCGAGTCCGAGTTAGGCATTGTCGTCTTGGATTTTCTTTCGCTCGCGTTCTGTTCCTCAGAAACTGACGAGATTACGATGACATCCTGATCGTCCGAGGAACTCAAGCGACGTTTCTTACTCGTATCCAAACGATCCGATCTCGATTTCTTAGATGATTCGATATATCCATTTTTTATTGTACTTTGACTACTGATCGATTCGTCGGAGTCGCATCCATCGTTGAACTCCTCCTCGGATAGCTCTCTGTCATTGGCGCATCTCATTCTTTTTCTGTTCTTATTGGGACTTTCGACGAAAGGCTCTTGCGCCTTGGCCGACGTGGACGCTGCGAGACGTGAACTTTTCATCTCGGAAAAGTTGTTTTCTTTGATAGCGGACTTAGTCGAGCCTACGCGCCTCAACTCGCGCTCGCTCATTGGAGAATCTATTTCCAGAAACTTCAGCTGCGAATCTTTGTCCGGTGACAGCAGTTTAATGGAATTTGACATTCTTGAATGAGAGATCAACCCGTGAATTGCGCCGAGGTTGTCCGCGCGAGGCGTTCTATGAAAGGATCGCGCATTATCCTCGGCGGTATTTTTGATCGATCCGCCCAATCGTTGATTCGCGTTCGTCAAAGAATTTCCGATAGCCGAGCTCTTTGAAGGGTCGACATTTTTTTTTGGCGTCGAAGTAGCTGAAGCAATCTTACAAATCGGTGACGCTATGAGAGATTCTTTGGAAACTGCTCGATTCGCATTCGAGAGATGATTATTCGCGAGATGATTATTTTCCACCACCGTGACGTTCGAGCTTTGTGAATCGTTCGAATCGGGGGATGCTGCTACATATATCTCCGATTTATCGATCGATTTCTGCATATTGCACACCGCGGTGACTCCAACTTCCGCTGGCATCGACCGTTCGCACTTGGTCGTGCCTAAGCAAATATATCTTACATTACGCCGCCTAATCAACGTCCCCAATTGCATAAACTTTATGGGAGATCGACGTCCGCGATTCTCAATACCTCCTGATTTCCTCGAGAAAGACATTTTCCTCGTAGATATCGTAGATTCGCCGATATAATTGCGACCGAGCTCTTCATCCTGACTCCTCATAATTCTAGAAACGTTTCTGTCGTTACCTTCGATGACTGTGTTTTTCAAGCGTGCGTCTGAGGATATTGTATCCTGATCTTCACGGGTTATCGTGAGACTCAAATCACGTCTCACGGTTTTCAATCGATTAGACAGTCCATCGTCATTCGATGTTGGTGAAACGTTCTTGTGATCACCGATCATTTCTTCGTGTTGCGACAATAAATGTTCTTTTAATAACGGCGAATCACCGTTGTTAGTCCTCGTCTTTCTTTTCAAGGATAATCTGGCCTTCGGCGTCAAAAATTCTAAGTGAGAAGAAGCAGTCCTGTTTGGTGTCTCCTGAACGTTATTGGTCTCTCGTGGTCCGGGAGCTCGCTTTTTGACCGGCGAGCAGATCGAACTTTCAAAGTTGTCGGCGGAAGTTTGCGACACGTCGTGACTTATTTCGTCGTTACGTATAGATTCGTTAAGTCTCTCCGGCGTTAGTACGGTCAGTCTTTGCCGCGGCAACGAATCGCGATAATTGATGACAACCTCTCGTCCTTGAGCCTGAAGATTCTCCTTGGTGTCCCCCCCGGAGCCAATAATTTTGCCCACCTGATCGTTGTTTAGATTCGTTATGCGTATTTTCCAACCATCCTCCAGCGTGATGTGTGATATATCCATCGTAGAATCAATCGAATTCGAATTGTCCGCCTTATTTTCATCAAATGATTTCGTCCGTTTCTTCGTTTCGCTCGACGCTTTCGCGTCCGATAAATTCTGACTGTTATCAATCGCGTCCTGTTTCTGACTGTTCATTTCCTCCAGTCGATTAGACATATTCATCTTGCTCGTATTATGACTCGCAATAATTCTAGAGGTGTCGTATCTGCTTCTCGGCGACAGCCTAATGTCCTCGACTATCCGCGGTGGCTTTCTATTTTTCTCGATGCTCACGTTCAGTCTCTTCACCTTTCTCCTTCTCGTGCGTTTCATCTCCTTCCCGATCTCGATCACGCGAGACCAATTCGCGAGAGATTGCTCGGTGATCGCAGATGTGCTCGGCGCGCACGAGACCTGATCGTTCGTTGCCACCAAGCCATCCTCACGGACAATCTCCTCGATTTCCGGTTTCGACCTTCTATCTTTCTCACGGTTTCTCGCGCGCGTTCTGGCGTGAGTCGCCTTGTATTTCAA